AAAGCATGTGACCAGTACAATATCACTAAGGAAAAAGAAGACACAGAGAAGTGCACAAGTGGTACAGACAATGAAGGTAAATACTATTATGTGCACAATACTTCCTTATCAATAACAGCAAAAAACTAACCTATGGGTGGATACATAGGTAGATAGGCAAGAGGATCAGGTATAGATAAGCAAAAGGCAATATACACATGGCCATACATAGTTTGGGCAGCCGATAGTCATACATGCATATGTGTATACACTATAAAAATGTCCATATGCCAACAAAGATGAACCATTTTGCACATACCATACTGCATTGTCAGAGAAGGCAAATATGAGTATACGGATGGATAGATGGGTGGACAGGCTGAACTATTAGGTATGTCTATGCAGGGGGAGGGTACCCAAGACCATGCATAGGGTTGGCAGACAATGGTTCTACAAGTATATTTGTATGTTCTGTAAGAATTCCTAGGTGTATAGGAGAGCTGACAAGGGACAAAGTTGTAGTCATTACTTGGCCACAGCCAGCTACCCAGAGGGACCGAGTAGTTGGACCTGTGGGCTCGGGACCATAGTTGCAGGGGACATCAAGCTCAATTAGCATCACATACTACACAAAACATTGCTCCACCTCCTACTTTGGCAAGTAGTAACTGGGATTTAAAAGCTTACAAGCAGCCACCCAGATGCAATGATGGGTCTCTCCTCATCCAGAGCAAAGAAGAATGAAAGAAAACCAAAGATTCATGGAAACAATTAGTCCTAGTGACAGATACACCATGCAATCCTCAGCCTATACAACTATGAGACCAGAAGAACTAGATGGTGCCTGGCTACCACTGTCAACTACTCGGAGGGGGATCTATGTAGGAGATCCTGGATAGAGAGGGAGAACAATGTGGAACAAAACTCAAAATCATTTGGAGGGGGGAAGGGACCAGTTTTGCTGGTCTGATAGAGCTTGGTGGAACCACTCAGACTATGGCCCCTACCTGCCCTTCAGGTCTGCAATTGAACCCACACCTGTGGCTTCCAGCCAAACAAAAAAACAGGCATATGAGTTGAACATTTACCCGAGGTAGATACACTCCTTGGAGATAAAAATTAAGGGAGAAAGAAGGGCTTTTTATGCACAGGGAGACAGCTCGGGAGCAGGAGTCCATGGAGGGATGGGCACAGGGAAGAAGTAACTATCAGGAGGAAGTGGGAAGGGAGCTGTTGCATTGGGGTAAATTGTAGTCAATATGAGACAAAGTGTTTGTGAGCTGCTGTACGGAAAGCGAATTTGCTCTGTAAACTTTCACCCAAATCACAATAAAAAAGAAGAAAAAAAAAAAAGTCCATATGCTGTATAGAGCTAACAGAGGAGGGATAAAATTAGGATAGCTTCTTAGCTACAACTAAGCATTTTGAGAATAGTGCCTAAGGCACTTGACTGCTAACCAGAAGACTGGCGGTTCAAACCCACCAGCCACTCCTCAGAAGGAAGGTTGGGCAATCTACTTACGTAGTGATACTGCCTCGGCAACCCAAGGAGGGGTCACTATGAGTCGGGTCCAACTCGATGGCACATAACAACAACAACAACAAGCAATTTTGAAGGATTGAGCCTTGGGGCATGCAGGCTTGGGACATGGTCATGGGGAACATGAAGCTCGATTGGTACAACAGAGAGCTGGGGTCTTAAAACCTGGCAAGTGGCTACCTAAGATGCAACTGCTGGTCTCTCCTTGTCCATAACAAAGAAGAGTGAAGAAAATCAAAGGTTCATGGAAGCAATTAGTCCAAAGGACCAATGGACCATGAAAACCTCAGCCTATATGACCCTGAGACCAGAAGAACTAGATGGTTCCCAGCTACTACTGCCAATTACTTGGGAAGAGATTAAAATTGGAGATCTTGTCTAGAGTGGGAGAAAAATGTGAAACAAGCAAGCAAACAAACAAACAAACAAAAACACGAAAAGGATTAGGATTACTGGTCAGATAGAGACTGGTGAAACCCCAGAGACTATGGCCCCAAGTCACCTTTGGGGCTGAAATTGTTTCATCTCTTGTCATCTTTCTTCTACTATCAAGAGATTCTGTCACCATCCCCTTACGCAACTCATGAAAACTTTGATACAATTAAACTGGAAATTACTTGACTGGCTACATTTCTAAATTAGTTCTGAAATACTCTACAGTGTCTCCATCCACAATGACAAATCACCTTTAAGGATAGGCCCTTTCCCAGAATGAATTGCACAGATGAAGTGTAGTGAATTACTTAACATGGCTCCTCTATCAGAGGTCTTTATGATTCCCACCGGATGACTATGTAGGACTATGCAGATGTGTGATGTTTGTAGCCTACCAAGGGGATTGTATTGTTGTTGTTGTTGTTATGTGCTGTCGAGTCGGCCCCGACTCATAGCGACCCCTCCTTGGGTTTCCGAGGCAGTGTCTCTACGGAAGTAGGATTGCCCAACCTTCCTTCCGAGGAGTGGCTGGTGGGTTTGAACCGCCAGCCGTCTGGTTAGCAGGCAAGTGTTTTAGCCACTATGCTACCAGAGTAAATTAGGTACATGGCACACTTGTGGGGGTGGCACCATGGAAATAAGGTATATGGAAATCTAACATGGGGATTGATCAGTTTGTCATTCTGGTAGGCTTTAAAAAAGCCATCCCAGAGGTGGAAAAGGGTGATCTCACTTCCATAAAGACAGAAGCGCAGCAGTAGTGAACTTTTCATTGGATCTCCTTTACATAGAGACAGCAGAGAGAAGGCAGCATCAGAGGCATCAGAACCAAGAGACAGAGCTGTGGGCTTCCCAGCCCACGGAGCAAGAAAGCTGAGTCTTCAGGCAGGAGGCCTGTTGGCAGAGTAGGATGCACATATAGGCATAGCTACAAGAGCTTTGTAAAAGTTGCCTGAGTAGGGCAAAAGCCAGATCAAGATGCCAAGGGTGAAAGAGAGGGGTGCCTGTGGGCATGGCCATAGGGAGGCTGTCCTGATGGAAGAATTGTATCCTGAGCATTCCTGAACCTGAATTGTAACCTGTTACTTCCCTAATAAACTCCATAATTCTGAATATTGCCTGTGAGTTCTGTGTGTCCATCACAATGAATTACCGAACCCAGCAGAGAAGCAGATAATGCCATGGGAGGGACGGTTGGTGTCAGACTTGGTAACAAGGTTGTAAGGTGGCAGCATGTCTGACCTCTGCCTCTCAGGAACCAACCTTTGGTTGCTAATGTTGTTCTGGATTTTCTTTCTTCCTTGAGATGTTAGAGGAGGTCAGGATATGTCTACACCTCCATCCCTTTTTGCAACAGACAACAAAATCTTTACTGTGTATCTAATCCCCATAAGATCCAATTATTACACATTCTCTGTTTTTTTTAATCACCACATTCTCAGGGTCTATGGTATCTGAATTCTTTAATTCTCTATTTCCAGGCCAAAAGTAGTTAGGTTCCTGGGAAGAGACAGCTAGAAAAGTCTTGTCACAGTATGAATCTGTATCTCTTAGTACATTCAGAATTTACAGATTTGGCCACAGACAATGCATTGTAGTAATTACCTAGTATGGCTTTTCTAGCCATACATCTTTGTAAACTCCATGGTGGAATTTGCTGTGAGCAACTTAGGAGCTCCTGATTGTAAAAGTTATCCACCAGGTATATTTCTGTTAAGTGGCACAAAACAATATTCTGGGAAGTTCACTTTCTCTCAGGTGCTTAGAATTCTGATGTTATGATTGGTTAGTCTGGCCACTCTGCCAGGCTCAAAATGAGGCTTCCTAGAGGCAGAAGTCTCTCTGACTGCTGGCTAAGAAGAGCGTGCTGCTGAGAGAAATGCACTCCTGAGAGATACGTGCTACTGAAAGAGACACCGAGAGACATGCACTGCTGGGAGAGAGACTCAGAGAGAGTGTTGGCTGAGAGATGGTGGGCTGAGAGAGACTGAGAATTGTTCCTGAACTTGAATTGTAGCCTGGTGCTTCCCTATTAAATCCCATAATCTGTGCAGTGTGGCACTGCAGCAAATTATTGAACCTAGCAGAAATGTGGTGGGTGCTGTGGGAAGAATGGTTGGTGTCAGGGTTGATGAAAGGGCTGGAGGGAGGCAGCATGTCTGGCCTCACAGGAATGGGCCTTGGGCTATTGATGGTGATTCTGTCTTCCACTTGTGGGGTTAGAGGAGGTCAGAACATGCAGCCTCCTTACCTTTTGGCAGACAGGTACAAAAATATATATATATAAGTGATGAGGAGGACAAAATCTAAGTGATTTTCCACAATACCTTTAAAACATTCTCTGTTAAAGTAGATAACATAAAACACAAGATACTTGGGGTGTTAATATGGATTAGACACAAACACATATTCATATCATATCATGAGAACAAGGTACCCGCATAGAAACACACTCATAAGCATATTCAAAGAAGTACCAAAAGGTACTTACTGCTCAAGTGAAGTAAGGATATCCTGGGTTTAACAAAGTTAAACAAGTTCTTTACTGAATGACTTCTCATAATCTTTAACAGGCTAATTATGCATTAGAAATCTCCAAGATTATTTAGCATTCAAAGTTTCCTAAATTCATTTGACCTCAAAATCATTTTTCTTATAGTATCTTGCTGAACTAATGTTAGGAATATCTTTTAGGAACTGCTACTCTAAAAGAATGAATGTGTACTTATTGTGACTGATTGTTGTTGTCATCCAGTTGATTCCAGCTCATGAGGACCCCAGGTGAGGTGGGGGACAAAGAATAGGGGAAGATCCACATACCCCTCCCCTAAACACACAATACATGAAGGGCAAAGGGAAGGGAATGGAGAGGGAAAGTCTGTTAAGATCTGGAAGGAATTCCAGCAATTGTGTGAAAAGGTCCCTTCATTTTAACATGATTTGCATAAGATCATATATCTCCTTAAGGGGTGAGATAGGACAATATCAACTGAGCCCAAATCATCTGGTGAGGAAAAGAAAGTGTTAAAAGAAATATACAACTCACAACATGTTACAGCCTGAAAAAGTAAGAAAACAAGAATTTAAACAAAAACTGAAATGCTCAATTCTAATTTTATTACCTCATATAATTGTGGTTGCTGTTGTTAGGTGCCATCGAGTCATCTCTGACTCATAGCGACTTTATGCACAGTAGAAACACCACCGGTCCTGAGCCAGTTCCATGGTTCTTGCTATACTTGAGCCTATCGTCGCTGACACTGTGTCAATCCATCTCATTAAGGGCCTTCCCCTCTTTCATGGAACTTCCACCTTACCGAGCATGACATCTTTCTCCAGGGAATGGTCCCTTCTGACAACATGACCAAAGTAGGTGAGACAAAATCTGGCCATTCTTGCCTCCAAGGAACATTCTGCCTGCACTTCCTCCAGGACAGAACTGTTAGTTCTTTTAGCAGTCCACAGTACTTTCAGCATTCTTTGCCAATACGACAGCTCAAAAGCATCAATTCTTCTTCAGTCTTCCTTATTCATTGTCCAGATCTAACATGCATATGAGGCAATTGAAAATATCATGGCTTGTGTCGAGCACACCTTAGTCCTCAAGGAGACATCTTTGCTCTTCAGCACTTCAAAGAAGTCCTTTGCAGCTGATTTGCCCAGTGCTATACATAGTCTGATGTCCTGACTGCTGCTTCTTTTGGCATCAGTTGTAGAACCAAGCAATGTGAAGTCTTTCACAATTTCAATCGTTTCTCCATTTATCATAATGCTGCTTATAGGTCCAGTTGTGAGGATTTTTGTTTTCTTTATATTGAGATGTAATCCATATTGCAGGCTGTATTCTTCAATCTACAGCAGTAAGTACTTCAGGTCATCCTGACTTGAAGCAAAGTTGTGTCATCAGTATATTGCAGGTCTTTAATGAGTCTTTCTCCAATCCTGATGCCACGTTCTTCTTCATATAGTCCAGCTTCTTGGATTATTTGCTCAACATACATATTGAATAAGTATGGTGAAAGAATACAACCCTGACACACTCCCTTCTTGATTTTAAACTAGGCAGTGTTCCCTTTTTCTGTTAGAATGACAGCCTCCTGGTCTATGTACAGTTTCCTTATAACTACAGTTAAGTGTTTTGGAATTCCCATTCTTCTCAATGTTATCCACCATTTGTTATGATCCACACAATCAAATGCTTTTGCATAGTCAATAACACAAGTGAACATCTTTCTGGTATTCTTTGCTTTGAGCCAAGATCCATCTGATATCAGCAATGATATGCCTCTTTCCATGTCCTCTTCTGAATCCAGCTTGCATTTCTGGAAGCTCTCTGTCAAATACAGTGCTGAAACCATTTTTGAATTATCTCTGCAAGACTTTACTTGCATGCAATATTTATGATATTGTTTGATAATTTCCATATCCTGTGGGATCACCTTTCTTTGGAATAGGTACAAATATGGATCTCTTCAAGTCAATTGACCACATAGCTGTCTTCCATATCTCTTGGCATAGATGAGTGAGTGTCTCCAGCGTGGTATATATTTGTTGAAACATCTCAATTGGTATTGTCAATTCCTGGAGCCTTGTTCTTTGCCAGTTCTTTCAGTGAAGCTTTGACCTCTTCCTTCATACCATTGGTTCTAGATCATAAGCCATCTCCTGAAAAGGATGAAGATTAACCATCCTTGGTACAGTGACTCTCTGTATTCCTTCCATCTTCTTTTGATGCTTCCTGCATCATTCAATATTTTGCCCATAGAATATTTCAATATTGCAACTCGAGGCTTAAATTTTTTCCTCAGTTCTTTCAGCTTGTGAAAGGCCGAGCATGTTCTTGCCTTTTGGTTTTCTAACTCCATGTCTTTGAACATTTCACCATAGTAACTGGATTTGTTTGCTTGAGCTGTTCTTTGAAATATTCTCTTTAGCTCTTTAATCTTGTCATTTCTTCCATTTGCTTTAGGTACCCTTTGCTCAAGAGCAGGTTTCAGAGTCTCTTCTGACATCCATTCTGGTCTTTTCTTTCTTTCTTGTATTTTTAATAACCTCTTGTTTTCTTCATGGATGATGCTCTTGATGTCATCCCCCAATTCTTCTGGTTTTTCAGTTATTGGTGTTCAGTGCATCAAATCTATTCTTTAGATGGTCTCTAAATTCAAGAGGGATATATTCAAGATCATATTTTGGCTCTTGTGGACTTGTTTTAATTATCAACTTCAAGTTGAACTTGCATATGAGCAGTTGATGGTCTGTTCCACAATCAGCTCCTGGCCTGGTTTTGGCTGAAGATATTGAGCTTTTCCATTGCCTCTTGCCACAGAAGTAGTCAATCTGATGCCTGTATATTCCATCTGGCGAAGTCCACACGCTGTTTGGGTGGTTGAAAAAGGTATTTGCATTGAATAAGTTGGTCTTGTCAAATTCCATCACGTGATCTCCAGCATTATTTCTGTCACCGAGGTCAAATTTTCCAACTACCGGTGATTCTTCTTTGTTTCCAACTTTTGCATTCCAATCAGCAGTGATAAGAAACACACCTTGTTTGCATGTTCAGTCAACTTGAGACTGCAGAAGTTGATAAAAATTTTCTCACATTATTAAGCTCCTATTATTCCTTGTATTTAGATTCAATGATAACTTCTTTTTTAAATACATTTTATTGAAATATAATTTATGTACAGTGAAATACACTAAACTTAAGTGACATGGGTCAATGCATTTTTTTTAATTTTTTTTTTTATTTTTAGGCAGTGTTCCCTCTCCTCTCTTCCCACCACTGGCAACCAAGAAAGAATATTTCCTTCCATATATAAATCTTTCCTTGACCCTCCACAACAACGAACTAATACTATATTTGTCCTTCTGTGATTGACTTATTTCACTCAGCATAGTGTCCTCTAAGTTCATCCATATTATGTGGTGCTTTGCAGACTCTACATTATTCTTTAGTGCTACACAGCATTCCATTATGTGTATGTACCATAGTTTGGTGATCCCCTCGTCCCTTGCCAGAAATGTAATTATTGGCAAATATTAATTTGTTGCTGTCATTTTTGTTATGTGATTTTTTGTGGTGTCCATTTCTGTGTTCCATGTAATATTCTATCCTAAGTTCATTTTGTTTATGAATTGTGTTTCACTTCCTTCATTGCTATTGTTTTAGTATTTGCTGAATATTAATGCTGGTCGTCTTTTTTGATGTGAAGGTTTATCATTTTTCTTTGAGGTTACCCTGTGATTTATAGTTTTCTTTCCAAGTTTAGAATAGTCTGTTCTATCTTATAGCTGTCTTGACTTCCCTATTGTCTAGAAGTTCTGTAAAGACACAGTTTTTTCCCTCCATTTAGTTTGTAGTTTTCCTCATTACTCAATTGATGCCTCTGGTTGCCTGTTTATAATCTTGTAGGCTAATTTACTTTGGACACTTCCATAGCTGGATTGGTTTCTGGGTTACATCATCATGTGTGTTAATGGACTCCCTTTAGCATCTCTTGCAAGGTTGGTCTGGTTTTAAAAAATGTCCTTAATTTCTGCTTATCTGGAAAAGTCCTAATTTCACCATCATATTTGAGGAACATTTTTGCTGGGTACATAATTCTTGGTTGGAAATTTTTCTCTTTCAGGGTTTTATATATACCATCCCATTTTCTTCTCTCCTGCATGGTTTCTGCCAAGAAATCCGACCTTAGTCTTATTGGTTACCCCTTGTAGGTAACTTCACTTTTCCCATGCTGCTCTCATGATACTTTCTTTGTCTTTGGTTTTGGTAAGTTTGATGATGATATATCTGGGTGATTTTCTTTGGGGTTCTATCCTGTTTTGGGTTCATTCGACTTCCAATGGATATATTCTCTTTCATCATACCTGAAAAATTTTCTTCCAACAAATCTTCAACAATTTTCTCTGTGGTTTTTTCTGTCTCTTCCTGTTCTGGAACTCCAATGACACATAGGTTACTCCTTCTAATGGTATCCCACATGAACCTTAGGCTTTCTTCATTTTGTATTGATCTTTTTTCTTATTGATCCCTTTCCAAAGATGTGGTCAGGTATTTGCCTTCAATCTCCCCAATTCTGTCTTCCATTGATTCATTTCTGCTCCTTTGCCCATTCAATGTCTTACCTATCTCTCAAAATTTAGTATTAATCTTCTGGATTTCTGTGTCTAGATTTTGTATCATTTCTAATTTTTCATTTATTTTGTCATTTTGTTCTTATATTGTCTTTTGAAATTGTTCTAGGGTTTTCTTTGTGTTTTCCTTGATCTGTCACTCAATTCATTGAAAATACCTAAATATAATTCTTTTGAATTCCTTATCAGGGAGGTTCAATGCTGCATTTTCCTCAGGGATGGGTTTTGTGTCTGTATCCTGGTCCCTTGTTTCTCCTGCTTTATTTTGCTTCTTTGTGTGGACTGTGATGCTCTGTTGTCTCTGAAACATTGTGCCATTTTTGTGTTTATATTTAATTGGTGATTGTATGTTGGAGTAACTTGCCCACAATTTTTGTTTTCTTTGTATGTTATCTACACAAGCAAGGTACTGTGCTCCTCTATTCACTAATTGACAGCACTTATACACTCACCACCTGTCTCCTTTCCTGTTGTCATCCTCTCATATGTCCCTGCAGACCTTGGCAAACAGAGCCTATTCTTAGGTGCCTGGAATCCAAATGAGAATGCTATCATTTTAAAATCCAAAATGGTTGCCACTTGTAAAGATTCAAAATGGCTGTGCCTTCGGTCACTTTAAATATCCAAAATGGCCAACATTTGTAAACATTGAAAATGGCTGCACCCTCAGTCACTTTAAATATTCAAAATAGATCCCGTGTATAAAAAATCAAAATGACTGCACCCTCTGGACAGCAGAAAATCAACAGCTCAGGTTGTCTCCCTCCTTGCTGTTTCCCTTCCTAGTCATAGGCCACCAGCACAGTTGTCCCTGCAGCCCTTAGTGACCAGGGCTGATCTTTAGGTCAATTCTCAGGTCCCAACACTACTTGGAAATATTTAGGCTATTGGTCCCATCAGAGTAGCTGACAGTCCGCAGCTC